CTTGGAGAGAAGCTGACAGATGAAGAGGTTGATGAAATGATCAGGGAAGCAGATATTGATGGTGATGGTCAGGTAAACTACGAAGGTAGGTCACAATTGCTGCCTTATGCCACATGCTGATTCTAAGTTAAAGTTACTGAGGATGTTTCAGAGCAGATCAGAAATATTTACCTCCCAAAATTTGGATGCTAAAGTAGTTCTCACTAAATTTGTTATTTAAAATGTCTGCCAACAAGACTACAATGACTCACCTAAGAACTTTGACTGTCAGTTCTACGCCTGCACCTAGAAAATTGACATTTTAATAAGGTATTAACATTTGAATGGAACTGTACAGTTTTTGTAGAAGGTGGTGGGATAATTTGGAAAGTTTAAAATTTTAGTATGAATTTCCTAAAATGAAATTAATAGACTTTGTATCTAACTAGGTTCTGTTTTCCTTTCTGACTCCAGTCTGAAACTGAATTCAAAAGTATCTTAGGGTTACTTGGAACTCGAGGATGTACACCCATTTGCAGGAAGCAACACTTTTAGAAACAGAATTTTTAGGGATCAATCTTTGCCTTCCACTTTTCACTTTGTACTGAAGTTACAATATTGACTTCTGACCCAGCAGATATGAAATTCAAGTCTAAATTAAATCAGGAATGCTCTTCCATTCCCACTGCTGGGGATTGAAATACTTTGGGCCTTGCATATACTTGGCAAGCATTGCACCAGTGAGGTATATCACACAGCCCTAACATACACCAAATAATTGCCTCATGTTTAATGATCCCAAATAATAGTGATTTTTGAAATTCCAACTTTAGCCATAAGCAGACTTTCCTGTTACCTGGTAATTCTAGAAAAGGAATAAAAAAATGCAGTTTAGTAATCATGATTGTTTTTTTCCTTTGTCATTGACTCACATTTTTGTTTCTTTTTTCAGAGTTTGTACAAATGATGACAGCAAAGTGAAGACATTGTACAGAATGTGTTAAATTTCTTGTACAAAATTGTTTATTTGCCTTTTCTTTGTTTGTAACTTATCTGTAAAAGGTTTCCCCCTACTGTCAAAAAAATATGCATGTATAGTAATTAGGACTTCATTCCTCCATGTTTTCTTCCCTTATCTTACTGTCATTGTCAAACCTTATTTTAGGAAATTGATCAAGTAACATGTTGCATGTGGCTTACTCTGGATATATCCAAGCCCTTCTGCACATCTACACTTAGATGGAGTTGGTCAAATGAGGGAACATCTGGGTTATGCCTTTTCTAAAGTAGTTTTTAGGAGCTGTCAGCATGTTGTTGTTGAAGTGTGGACTGTGGACAGTCAACAATATGTACTTAAAAGTTGCACTATTGCAAAACGGGTGTTTTATCCAGGTACTCGTACACTATTTTTTTGTACTGCTGGTATTGTACCAGAAACATGTTCTTTTATTGTTACTTGCTTTTTAAACTTTGTTTAGCCACTTAAAGAAAATCTGCTTATGGCACAATTTGCCTCAAATCCATTCCAAGTTGTATATTTGTTTTCCAATAAAAAAAAATTAACAATTTGCCCTATTGTTGCTTTGAATCTGAGTGATTTAATAACTATTGGTGTCTAATTTTGTGGACTGTATGGAATTGCTTTCTCTTTGGTGTAATTGAGTTGTGGTTTTGAGATAGAATCTTGCTAGGAACTTCCTGTCTGCCTTACTCTTAAAAAGATTAAAAGCCCTTTTATGGCTGGGTGTGATGCCACACACCTTTAATCCCAGCACTTTGGAGGCAGAGGCAGGTGGGTCCCTGAGTTCACCAGGGGCCAACCTGGTGCCTGATACACATAGTGAATTCCAGGCCAGATTGGACTCCAGTGAGACTGTCTCCAAGAAGAAAAAGAAAACCCTTTTATAAATGAACCTTTTGTATATGCTACATATTTAGGGTTTACCATCTTTTTATATATATATAAGTTATATTACAGCCATTGTATTTTTAACATTTATTTATACATATGAGAACTCCATTTGCATGTATGCCTGCATTACAGAAGACACCATCAGATCCCATTTAGATGGTTGTGAGCCACCATGTGGTTGCTGGGAATTGAACTCAGGTCCTCTGGAAGAGCAGACAGCGCCCTTAACCGTTGAGCCATCTTGCCAGCCCCCATACCATCTTTTATTTTAATTAAAAATTTTGTCGATGAATGTATGTGTTTGCCTGTATGTATGTGCGCCACATGTGTGCCTAGTGGCCTCAGCAGTCTGAAGAGGGCACCAGATCCCCAGAACCAAAGTTTGCAAATGGTTTTGCACCACCATGTGCGTGCTGGGAACCCAAACTGGAGGTCCTCTGTAAGCACAGATGTGTTCTTAACTGCTGAACCACTAACTTCCTCAGCCTTGCTTTCTACCTTTTAAGTAGTTGTGACTTGAAAATAGGTAATTGAAAGGATACTATGACTTACCTTTATTTCTTAGTTTATCAGTATGCTGTTAACTAAAGAGAAATTTCAGTAGTAACTTCAATTTGAGATTAAGTTCATTGGGGTTTTTTTAGTAATTTGATTTTTTAAAACCAGCCATGGTAGGTTAGTTTAGATTTGGATAGTCTTAACTGGAAAAGGAAACTAGTTTTAAAGTTACTTTCAAGATGTATTTGACATAAACTTGGAGTCATGAACCCAAGAAATTTTAGGAAATTTTTTAGAGCTAGCATTGGGCACTAAACATTTTGTGGTTCTATAGAGAGAGAACCTATTAAGCAGAAAGGAGATCTTCATGGTTCTACATACAATGGTAGTGGTGTTGTGTTTTTTACTTTACAGACTACCTCAATATATCTCAGGCCCCTAGCTCTGAGCTCTGCCTTGAAGTTGTCTCCTGTGGCAAGCACTAGGATGCTGCTCCATGCCCAAGCTGGAGATAGATGGGGCTGGTGCATGCTAGACAAGCATGGCCTCTCAGCCCCAGCAGTGTTTCCTTAGCTAGGCTCAATTTGTTACTGGAAAAGTCCTTGCAATAACTGACCCATGTGTTTCTGTTTTTGAAGTAAACTTTTTTGTCTGGATGTCCCTGTCTTTGCACTTACATACTTTGTGTGGATTTCTGGACGTGTCTGTACATTCTTATTTTTCAGTCTCTAGGGGTCTCAGTCCCTAGTCTGCTGAGCCAGTTTCACAGGCTCAGCCAAAATAAGACTGAAATGAAGCACAGGGCGAGCGTGGTTACCCTTTACACTTCAGAGTCTATCTTCATCTTAACCATGTAACCACTCATTTTAAACTTGGTTTCTGGTGCTTTTAAAAAATAGTAAATTGAGAAGCTGAGTGTAGTGAGTGTCTACCCTTGGCGCTTGGAGAAGCGGAGGCCTGGGCTGCAGGAGATTGAAAAGAATCCTAGTATTTTGGAGGAATTAGATGAAATGCCAGTTTTTCCAGGTTAACAACAGTTACCAAGGAGCTGGTGGCCTGCTGCTCATCAGGTAAAATGTGCTTGCCACATGAGCCTGCTGAGTAGGACCCAGAACCCACATGTCAACGGAAGGAGAGGCCAGGTCCCAGAGGTGCGACATGCACTTGCATGCACACAAACAATAGAGGAATTCTTAAAGCTGGCCAAGTTCCTGTCCTGGGATCAGAGTCAATGAGCCTTTCAACAAAACCACAAGATGTTTCAAGAACATCATATAGTGCTTTGCCTCCATGCGTGTCTGTACTGTGTGTGCCTGGGCCCCCAGGAGGCCGAAGAGGCCACCACATCTCTGAAACTGGAAGCCATCAACCCGGGGCCTCCGGAAGAGTGGCCAGTGCTCTTAACCACTGAGCCACTTCCCCAGCTGTGAATACCAACTTTTGAAAAGGACCCACTAGCTAAGTTAAATTGGTACCAAGTACCAAACCAAACTGCCTGTCTTTATAAATACTTTTAAGTTCCTCTTGTGTCCCTGATTTTGTGTGTGTGTGTGTGCCAGCATTTTAATAGAAGTCCCAGGACAACTTTTCAGAGTCAGTTCTCTGCTCATACCATCTTTGTCCCAGGGACATCAAATTCAAGATCATCAGACTTGGCAGCCTCTGGAACTATTTTTTTGCTCTCAGGTCGCTCCTGGCCCTGAGAATATTTTTTTAAATCATTTGTGTGTCGAGTATTTTGTGTGCATGTATGTATGCACACCTTGTGTCCCTTGTGCCTGCAGAGGTCAGAGGGCATGGGCTGTCTCTGGGAACGTAACCTGGGTTCCCTAGAAAAGCAGCAAGGCTCTTAGCTTCGGAGCCCTTCCTCCAGGCCCAGATTAGGATGGCTTTAGGAAACAACGTGAGGGAGGAAACAATGGAGTCCTCTCACTCTTGAAGTTGGTGATGGGAAATGGAAACTGAATTCTCCTGAGGGCAGCAGAGCTTTGAAGCCGTATCTGGATTTGAATTCTGGGGCTTCCGTTTGGTGGTGTCACCATCCAAGTTGCTGTCCTCATTCTTCGGATGGAGCTAATTAACTCCCGCTTTGTGGCGTTGCTGTGACTGAGATGTAATACAGTGGAGCCCTTGGATATAATAGGTACTCCATAAATGGAAATAAAGGTGGAAAACCCGTTTTAAAACAAAACCTTTCTAGGTTGAGAAGCTACAGACAGGAGAGTCCCTGAGGGCAAAAAGTGAGTGGTCTGCTTTCACAGCTAGTATTCGGGATCACCTCCACTCCAACCCGAAGGTGGACGGGCTAAATACGCCTGCCGCTCCCCTTTCTAGGCTGTGGGGTTGGGGTTAATTTGTGAGGTAACGGTGGAGCCTGTGTCATCTATCCATGCCTAAGAACTCGACTAATTTCACAGACTTCTATAGTTTATGACACAGGCGTGACCGTCTGAAAGAACGGCGGCTGAGCCCGCTTCGCCGCCCCACCCTGACCCCTGCTCAGTGCGCTTCCTTCTCCCCTCTACTAGAGGTGACCTGCAGGATTCCGCACAGTTCTTTCACACGCGCAGGCTCGGTGATCGGCGGGTGCCCCGCCTCCTAGCAACCGGCCGCCAGCCCTTGCCTAGGAGGTCGCAATGGTCGATCCCGCCATTACCATCAGCCCCTCCACAGTACCAAGAGAAGATGTGGCACAGGAATCACCCCTTACAACCTCGGTAGGGTAGCCTGCCCCTTGTGGCCCCACAGCCTGGTCTCGGCGAGACCCAGTGCCTTTTCCTCATCACTACTTCCAGGTCTGTTAGCTGCTTAGCCTTCTGGCTGAGGTTCTTACCTGGCCTGTACCTGATTCTTTCTTGGTTTCATTTGATTATGATTTGATTTCCTTTTCCTGTCGCCTTCCCTACCTTCTCTCTCAGCCTTTTTTCTTTTTACCTTTTTGTATTTCCCCCACAACCGCTTGCTTCAATAGAGTGCTAGATTTCCTGCCCTTTCGTTTCCTTCTGTTAACCAACTGTGTGGAGTTCGTGCTCTGGCCTGCCCCTTACTTTACCAGTTTTAAAAATAAATTTGGGGGAAGGATGTTTAGCCTATTATTTATTTTCTCCTTTAAAACCAACCTAAAATGATAGACGGTCTGGTTATAAATCACTTGCGTGGGCCAACTGGACAGCTTCTTTCTTCTGTGCTGGTCCTGCTCCTCCCCTCATTCCTGCCCTCCTCCTTTCTCTGCTTTGGAGGGAGATGTGAAAACCCTAACTTGACCCACCTGGGAACATTTTCTTTCTAGCTGCAAGTGAAAATCAAGAGGAATCTAATAAAAGAATGTACTCGGTGAAAAGAGGTTGGCTCAGATGTATAGCATGGCATATCAAACCATGGAAACTCTTGGCTTGCAGAGAAATGGGCACATTTCATAGCAGCATGATTGAACTCATGAAGTTGATTTTAGTTAGAAGACAGAGTAAAGTACATCCATTATATTTTTTAAACCAATTTTTCTGTTTAGTTCATTTTTGCTTTAGATACTCCTCTTTCATAAGGAATATTATAACCTGAAAGTAGAGTTTGATATTTTAATGAATGAAGACTGCAAATGCAGACTCCTAAGTCTGCAAGCAATCATATAGATAGCTTGCTGCAGAAACAAGAAACCACTGGAAACTGAGTCATACCCAAAATCTGTTCCTTTTTTTTAAAATTAATTAATTAATTTGATTATTTATTTATTACAGTTTATTCTCTTTGGATCTCAGCTTTAGCCCCCTTCCACAAAAATCTGTCTCTTAACTTGGCAGATGAGATTTTAAAAATAAAACCCACCATGTATCAGCAGTGACTTGATAAACATGGCCGTGGGTGTGTGTCTTCCTCTCCTGAATCCTCTTAAGAGAAGGGGTCTTGTTTTGTAGCCCCCTGGCTGGCCTGGAGTTCACTGTGTAGAACCAGGCTGGCCTAGAACTCACAGAGATCCATCTGCCTCTGTGTCCTTGACTCAAGATATGCGGCATCACATCTCCACGCCCAGCTACTGTTTATTTTTATATTTCTGTGAGGAAGCTTAATTCATAAAGGTTGGTTGAGCTCAGTGCATTTAGCCACTGGGCAATGGAGCTGTGGCCAAACATCAAATTTTATTTTATCTAATGTTCTTTTAACATCTCTGTGAGATAAGGATATTTATTTTAATTTCACCAAAGGGATTTTAGATACTTAAGACCACTTAATATCCTAACAACTTAAGGAAATAGTATGGGCAGAATGTATCATTATATAGCTCTCATTTTAATAATGATAGCTAATTGGCTTGGTACAGGTGATTTAGTTTCGTCAAGTAAATATCTTATACGTCATATTTAATTTCAAGAGATTACCTTCTAAACAAATAAGCAGATTTTGTGTTTGCTCATAGAAACAAATCCGGAAGAGTTCAGCTCTTGATAGAGAAGGATGGTGGAGGGTAACATTAACGGTGTGTATATCTTCACTCCTTCCGTTTCTGTTCGTTCTGTTCCCAGTAAGGTTGTAACCTGTCTTGCTTTTTCAGTCAGCAACATGTAACTGTGAGAAAACAGTGTTTGTTCAGCTCTGCCTGGGTTACATTTCCACTTGTAATTTTAGGATTAGCCTATGGATGAGAAATGAGCTTTAAGTGTTGAATGTAGTAAGAGCTCAGGAAGTGGAACAGCTCTAGGGTGCTTAACAGAGTGTCTAGCTGAGGTCAACCTACAATGGGATGGTCTGGGTCACATCCAAGGTGCAAAGGGGACTTGCCTTCAGATTTTATCACACGAGGCAGAGAAGCTTGTTAACATGATGCCCTAGTCAGGGTCACTATTGCTTTGATGAACTTGGGGAGGAAAGGGTTTATTTCAGCTCACACTTCCGGGGAACAGTTCATCACTGTGGGGAGTCAGGGCAGGAATCTGGAGGCAGGAGCTAATGCAGAGGCCAGGGAGGAGTGCTGCTTACTGGCTGGCTCCCCATGGCTTGCTCAGCCTGCTTTCTTATATAATCCAGGACCACAAGCCTAGGAATGAAACCATCAACAGTAGGCTGGGCCCTCTCCCATCAATCACTAATTTAGAAAATGTCCTCCAGTCAGATCTTATTCTCTCAGTTAAGGTTTCCTCCTTTCAGCTAACTCTAGCTTGTGTCAAGTTGACTCAAGACTAGCCAGCTCGAATGGTCAGCGTATAAAATACATAAACATGAGCTGGCAGCGTGTGAGAGAATGGCCAGCTTGCTTGCTGAAAGTGCAATTTAAAGTACCAAACCTCTTTTTGGCCTTAGCAGACCATGTGCCCTGCCAGTTCTTCCTGAGGCTGGCGTTATATTTCACCTCATTCTTGAGGCTTGTTAAAAACATTGTCTCCGCTAGACAATATGGGAGCCTTTAGCTGTCAATGAACTGTGCTCTGTATTCACTTACTGGGCTGCAATCTGTGGCCAAAGAATTACAACTAGATACTCATTACCTTTCAACAAGGTAACTTTGGGACTAGTGAGAACGTTGAGTAGATACAGGTGCCTGCCACTAACGCTGAGGACCTGAGTTCAGTCCCCAGGTCCCAAGTGGTAGAAGGAGAAAACGGACTTTTTGTCCTCTGACCTCTACCCGCACACTGTGATACATGGCAACACTCATTCCACAAACACAAAAAGAAATAAATATATAAAATGTGACTTTTTTTTTTCTTAGATAAGGTTTCACTGTATAGCCTTGGCTGGTCTGGAACTCATTATGTAGACCAGGCTGGCCTTGGACTCAGAGTTCTGAAGTTAAATGTAGTGCCCAGCAAACAATCTTGATGCTTTTGAAATATTCTTCTCTCAAGAATGTTTGGGGGACAGGGTGGCCGGAGATGGCTCAGCAGTTAAGAGCATTCGCTGCTCTTACAGTGGGCCTGGATCCAGTTCCTAGCATCTACATGGTAGCTCACAATTGTCTACAAGTTTAGTTCCAGGGGTTCCCACATCCTACTCTGACTTCTGTGGGTACCAGACATGCATGCAGGCGGACACTGATACACACTTTTTATCTAGCACTTGGGAGGCACAGGCAGGCAGATTTCTATGAATTCAGGGCCAGCCAGGGCTACGTAGTGAGATCCTGGCTCAAAACAAACAAAAGAAAGCACTGGTTTCCATAAAATAAAATAAATAAAGAGCATTTGTTAAAACTGATAAAATCTTAAATTTAGAGACAAATGGCACGTAGAAATGACCCTTCAAGGACGGTGCTTTAGGGGAAACCACAGGTCTACAAAGTGGTCTTACAACTGGTGTTAATTTCCCGCAGAATACTCCAATACCTGGCACTTACCACTTAAAGACGTTTCTTGAAGAATCCCTATTAAACCCAGTGAAGGCAACCTACAATTTTAAGAATGAAGGAAGGAAAAGGATACCGCTTGTGCAGAGAAACGACCCGGTCCCAACTGACCTCCCGCAGTACAAGCCTCCTGACTTCCTGGAGCTGTTGAAGAACCAGATGGCCTCGTATTCATTCAAAGACAAGCCCCGGCCAAACCCCAGCACACTGGTTGACAAAGACGAGGTAGGATATTACTGTCAGATAGTGTTTTGTGAAAAACATTGCCAAGAGCACACGTGAGGAAAAGGTGCTTTAGACATAGAGTGTCTATCCAGCCCCTAAGGAACACCCCCCGCCCCCCCCCAGGATATCTCATTCCCTATAGATACTGAGCAGGGCGGAAGATGGCTCAGCAGTCTGACTGCTTGCTGTTCTTCCAGAGGACCCAAGTTCAGTTCCCTGCACCCATGTCTAACAGACCACAATTGTAACTCCAGCTCCAGGGAAGCCAATGCCTCTGTATTTACACCCCACACACACATATGCACACATGCACCTATACAGAACGTAAAAGCAAATAACGCTGGAAATGAAACAAGGGTTTGTACGGCTTGCAAACGTGTCCAGTGAGATCTTTCCTGTGAGATGTTAAGGGAACCAAAGCACAGAGTTGAGAGGCAAGTCCTGGCAGGACCCCCCTCCCCTGGGGACCCTCAAGGACCTGGCCTCGGGCCATACACTGGCCTCTTGAAGCAGTTGATGTGGTAGGTCCTCTTGGAAGAACTGCCTCAGTCCTGTTAGAGTGTTTTTAAAAAACTTTCTTTGCTAAGGTATAGCTCAGTATTGGAGCAGGTGCTCAGTATTCACAAAGTCCTGGCCTTGCTGGATCCTAGAACCAAAGCAAACTAGAAAAAAAAAAATCTGGGAAGCACCCAGAGGAGGAGCATTTAGCTGGACCTTGATGTTTTCTTATATGTGATTTTTTTTTTCTTTTAAAGTTTTATTTATCGTTGTGTGTCTGTGTGTGGCTGAATGAATGTGAGGAGAGGCCAGAGGTGCCGGGTCCCCCTGGGGCTGGAGTCACAGGCGGCTGTGAGCTGACTGACATGGGTGCTGGGAACTGAGCTCTGGTCCTCTTCAGGGCTCTTAGCCACTGAGCTGTCTCTCCAACCCCTGCAGATGACTCTCAGTGCTTACTCTCTTAGCTAAGTAGCTTGAAGTAGGCTAAGAGATGTTTTCTGTTTTACCTGTGAAATAGGCAATTGACCTCACTCTGTAGCCCAGGCTGGCCCCTGCATCCTGAGTGCAAGATTAAAGGTGTGTACCAGTAGGCTTAGCTCAAGGCAGCACTGAGGGCTTTGACCATAAAAGCAGCTGTCTTTCCTGTCTACCACTGGCTCTGCCCACAGTGAGGGAGCAGCCAGGGTGTTGGTAGCAGGACTCCACAGGATGTACTTCCCAGGCCTTTTTGAAGGGATGTGTGCTGAATAGGTCTCTTAGAGGGACCTCGACTTGCTACTTGGAACTCAGTCTTTTTGGAACTCAGTTCTTTTTGTTTTAATAGTCCAAATGAAAAGAAGCTAACAATCCCATCAGTCCTCAAGATGCACGGCCACTGGCTGAGAACAAAAGGTTGAAAGCTGGGGACAGGTGCACGTGCCTGTAATTCCAGACTGAGGCTGAGGATCTCAAGTTACAAGCGAGGTTGGCCTGCGGTCATACTGTTTCTTCACTAGGTCACGGTGGCACACGCCCTTAGTCCCCGAAGTCGGGAGGCACAGGCCGGCAGATCTTTGTGAACATACTGCGCTCCAGTACAGCCAGGACTATAGAGATCTTGTCTCAACAACCAAATCAAGAACAAACAAACAAACAAACAAAAACCTGTCTTCCCAAACCAAAATTAAACAAGAGAGAGCTGTGCTTGCTGTGTGAGCATAAAACCCTCGGCTGGCACACGAGCAGCATGGAGCCCCTTGCTAATGCTTCACAAACAAAGCGTGGACATAACAGACTGGTAACGGTTCACTGGATAAATCTTCCCGTTTGCTTCACTGGACAAATACAAACACTGGGTTATCCTTAGCTTTCTGGCTTGACACATCAGGTAACCAAGCTACACATGAGATCACTCTGGCTACCTCGTCGCCTGACTCATTTTCTGCCATTTACTCCCATCTGCTTCCTCTTTGGCTCTTTGGCCATCCTCAGGGGCCGGCTGAAGGCCCACGGTGGAAACAGCACCAGAAGGTGGTGGAAGTGTCAGGTAGAACCGAAAACTTTAACTAAAAGACCCATGAGTTTGGCTTTCCCACGGGGTTGGCGAAGCCTTCTGCAAACACCCTTTTCTGTTTCTTCACTCTCCTTTCCCTTCTCCTCCCTACATCCCCCAGAGGACTACTGGGACAGGGGTCTGACACATCTGTGACCTTCTCAGTTTTAACACAGTACACAGTATAGCTCATCCACACTGGTGGCTTTTTATTTGTGGTTTTGGCATTTTGAGACATAAAAATGAGATCTCTCTCTCCCACCAGCCTGCTTTTCGTCCTGTATGGTGCTTAGCCACTGTTCCGAGGTTCCTCCACACACCCTTAATTCACTCACTGCCCTTCCCTGCCACCCCCTTAATGATTTCAGTGCCCACAGAGACTTGCCAACAGCCTGCCCTCCTGGTTTCTTCATCTCTCCTCTACCTCAGCCATTCCTCAGGGTTTTTTCCAAGACGCATAATTTCAGCCCTCCATGGTCTCTATGAGATGGTGCTTCTTCTCCGGCCACACTCTAGCATCCCCTCCCTCACTGTACCCAAACTTCCTGACTCTTCCACTTTTACCCACTTTCACCCTGCTCTCATCCCTCCTATGCTGCTCTTCATTACAAGCTTGAATTCTGTCGTTGGTCACCATGCCCTCACCCCATATCTACTGCCGTCCTCTCTTGCCACACCTTGGTTAGACCTAACCGCATGCCTGGTAGCCGTGTTCATGTTCTTAAGGGCCTATGTCATTTGAAGTCCAAAACCACCAGTGAGCCCGAACGGGCTTCCTGGTTTGCACTCTCGCTCTGCTACCTGGCCCCATCCCCTGTCCTTCTTCCTCGGACACGGCTTTCCAGTCCCCAGGCTTGGTTTCCTTCTCAGCCTTCTGGGGCGGTGGTGGTGGGGGGTGTTCTTAGGAGCCTTCTGTTCCTCTGCCCCAGCCTGTTTGTCTTGCAGTGCCCAGGTGCTCACACTCTCCCCCATCCACTTCCCTGGACGGTGAGCTCAGCCAGCCTCTAGGTGGTGAACACCACCTATCCGTTGGTGAATACCAGAATTCCTGCCTCCTGCCCGGAGGTCTCCCTCTCCCCTTCTGATCTCTTGCACTTGAATGGTGAATGCACGGTTTCTCATCTCCAGCACTCCTGACGTTGTGGGTAAGTCTTAGTGTCGGAGGGCTGTTCTGCCTGTCCCTGGTCTCTGCTGTCACTGATATTCTCCCTCTAAGCATTACTAACTAAAACCATCACTAAACATGGTCAGTGTCCCTGGTGGGCAGCAGAGCTCTGGCTCCTGACCCTGGTGAAGACATGATGGTGTGCGCGGCCTCAGACACTTCTCAGGGTTAACAGGCTTGTTGGGAATGGAACTTCTTGCTCAATTTCTCCCTTAGCAAATTCATTATGGGCTGCAGAAATGTGACTGCGGTCCCTTTCCACAAATGTGCTGCTCTGTATTCTGCAACTCCACGGAACCCTTTGAATCCAATCCTTTGATTTTTCAGCATGGAGAATGAACCATGGTGTGTGTGTGTGTGTGTGTGTGTGTGTGATTATCTGTGACTATCTGTTGCTCTTTTCTTTTCAAAATGTATTTTTGTAAATTTCCTGATATCTGGAGTGAGTGTTCCCTTCCAGAGAAGGCCTGCTTTTTCCTTTTCAAGCTTCAGGGAGTTGTTCAGAACACACGACTTCTGCGGCTCCCCTGTGGTGCAGAGCTTGCTCAGAACCTACCCTACAGCATGGAGCTAGCCCACGGTTACATTCCCTCCAGAGGGAGGTGTTTCCTTTCTGATTCTGCTTGATATGAAGGCAACCCTGGGCAGTGAATTGGCAGTGGGGTGAGGTGGGAGGGATGACCCTCAGGAAATGTCCTTTTGGGGTCTCAAATGCGTATGGCTGGGGTTCCTCTAGATTACCCTGTCATTGGTTAGTCTTGGCTTTGGCCTCTGGATACTCCTAGGGCTCTGACGTCCACCACACTCAGCTGTAGGCCTATGCTCTGCTTCATCTGTTAGCAGCAAACATCATCAGGCCAGCGCTGGCTCTGGTCTGGAGTCTTATCCCTGTTACCTTCTCAGCACTGTCCTGTACGTGCCGGTTTAAGTGCTCGTATTTGTTTTTAGCATTTTGTCCTTTGTCCTTCCACTTTTTAGTTGCCTGTAATAAGAAGATTCATCTGAATAACCTAACCTGTCACTAGCAGGAAACAAGGCATTCCAGAACCTTTCCCATACTATTTTGAACTCTTTACACATAATTTTGTCATCGTCGCAGACAATTCTATGTACAGACACGTCCTTCGCGTTCACCCATGCCCTGCTGCCTGTGACACAGTGGCGTTGCTGAGGATGGCGCAGGCGGAGCTCTGAGTCGAGCCTTCTGTCCCAAGGCAGGGCAGCACTGTGCTGTGACCCCCCCCCCCCCGACACCCCCAAGTTACCATCGTGAATTCGCCCTTTGTTATTTCAAACAGAAATGTGAGACTCAAGAGCAGGCATTGAGGCTTGAAGTAGGGGGAATTCAGGCCCAAGCCAGCTCACCACCAGGAAGAGTGTGGTTCGCCATCCCCAGACAATGAAGGGACAGGGGAAGCTGGTGGCACTGTCCAGCCTGCAGCCGGTGACTGAGCGCTGAACACAGCCTGTCACCCAAAAGAAGGCGGAGCCACTGTCTTGAAGACATAGCTTCCGAAAAAGGCTGGCCATTCTCTTCCACACCTGCCTTCAAAGTGAGAACTAAACAGACATTCTGGTTTCCAAATGGGCAGAGGAGAGACGCCAGCAGCCCACAAGATAAACCACTGTCTGAAAGGCAAAGCCACACTGGGCTTCAACTCCTGATTCATCACAAAAGAATAGTGACAGTGAAAAAATGTCACCTGATGATCAAAAACTACATGTGTAAAGGGGACATGAATGGGAAGGTCCGTCATTACTGATGTGAAGAGTGGCAATTTGGCAGCCTGGAAGTATTTAAAATACATGTCGCCTTAACTGTGCCAATGCGGAGCTAGGCTGTTTAGGGAGCATGCTCACACTAGAAGGATCTAGTCTCATACAGCTCCTAGGCACTGTTTGCATTTCATTTAATTAGAGGAGTGATATAAACACAGATCCTCATGCTTTCTGTGACAGCATCATTGTTAGGCAGCCCATTAAAAACAACGAGGTGTCGCTGTGAGAGCCGCCTAGGTTATTATTAAACGAAGAAAGTAAATGTAAATGAATTTTACAGCTTAATCCATTTGTGCAAATGGAAAGAAATGTGCACTCACGTGAGGCTGGCTTCCCCGTTTCCTTGAGAACTACTGCATCACTGTTAATGGTGACCCACACTGGGGAGCAGGCCTAACGTGGGCCGAAGAGACTCGCTCTGAGGTGCTTCAGTTGTTTCCAGTATGTGACGTGCACTTTCTCAGTGTGCTCATTTGTGAAGAACAGAAAAATCCAACTGAAACTCGTTTTCCCTTCATTCTTTATATTCTCCAATTTAGAGATTCTCTGTTTTACTTCCTAGCTTGGGAATATGTCCATGAAAATCACAAACAAATGGAGTTGAAAATGGCCTGAAGCGTCTGTCTTGATTATCATTTGTGTTGCCTGTTAGAAGCTTGGTAATAGGAAAGGAAATGACTTTGGTGAGTTGCCCCAGGAGGCAGCCAGGCTGGAACCCAAGGGTACCCAGTTAGAACAGGGTAGGAATGGGGGTCCAGTCATCACAGAGCTCAAGGCTGGACAGCCTGAGTTGGAACCCTGGATTTCGTGGCTGGAAAGATAACTGATTTCAGAAAGCTGTCACCTGACCTCTACACACATGCCATGGTACGCACACATTTACACATTTACCTCACACACACACTTACATTACATACACACCCTCATTCTCTCTCTCTCTCTCTCTCTCTCTCACACACACACACACACACACGTTAAATAAAATCATTTTAAAAAGAAGTGTGAAGTAGATGGAGAATGCCTTCCATGGATTTACCGCTACAATGGACAGAAAAGACTCTCTGAGTCTGAGGATGCTTTAGCTTCCAACACTGAGAAGTAAAGAGAACAAAGGTCGAAAAGGCCAGACTATCTGAGCCCTACAAAAATGTGTAAAATGAGCTCGAGGGGAAGGAAGTGACAGGAAATGAAGAACTATTTGGGGAAAAAAAGATGATGTTTCTCAGACTAGTATCAGGCACCAAGCAAAACTCTGGAAGAAGCCGGAGGTAAAAAAAAAAAAAAAAAACTACTAAGGAGCCTTGAAGCTAAACCACCCACTCCTTTACAGATTCCAGCAAGAAGAGCCTGGGAGGAAGTGATCAGGGAGAACACAGCCACCAGCTCGAACTCTGCTCCATCGCAAACAGCCTTCCAAAAGGGTTGGAGAAATGAAAATATATCACTGTAGACTCTGCCAGAAACATGTAGAAGGAGTATCGGGGCTAGGGAGATGGTTCACTTGGAAGTGTGCTTCCCTGGCAGGAGGACCTGAGGCTGGATCCCCAGACCACGCTCAGGAGCCCTGGGTCTGCAACCCAGCGCTGGGAGGCAGACACAAGGGAGAATCCTCGGAGTTCACTGGCCAAGCCCGCCTAGCCAGTCAGTGTGCTCCACATTCAGTGAGAGAACCTGTCTCAAAAAAAAAAAAAAAAATTAGGCGGGAAGCCTCTGAGGAAGACATCTGGCATTCACACACACACACACACACACACACTAAAAAAATGTAGCCAGGCAGTGGTGGTGGCCTTTAATCCCAGCACTTGGGAGGCAGAAGCAGGCAGATCTCTGTGAGTTCAAGGCCAGCCTGGTCTATGAAAGAGATTACTGCACAGCCAAAGCTACAGAGAGAAACCCTGTCTCGAAAAACAAACAAAAAATGTAAATAGAAACTACTCAACTAAAAAAATGGGCCAAATATCTTAGCAGGCATTAAAGAAGATATGCAGGAGGCAGACAAGGACGTTCCACTTTGTATGCCATCAGGGAAATGTCAGTCAGAACAGTCACTGTAGATGTGGTCCCACTGCACGCCTCACACAGCCAGCAGAAAGGCCAAAAGCCAGAGCACCTACTCTAGAAGCCGAGTCCACAGTGGGTGAGAACTCACTGCGTCTGCAGCCATGTCAGAAGACAGATTTTCAGATGCTTTACACCCCTTTACCATTTGACTCAGCCTTTCATGCCCTTGTAATTACTACAGGATTTGAAATCACATGTAAACACACACACACACACACAATCATATGATGCTCACAGAAGCTTTGCTCGTGGTTGTCGAGACTTGGAAGCAGCTGGATGCTCTTCATTAGACAGTAAACGAAAAGTACGGTGGTACATCCAGACAATGAAATATCATTCAGCTCTAAAAACAAACTCGCTCCTAAGCAGTGGAAAGACAGACAGGAAACCTGAATATGTAGTAAGCATTAGAAGCTGGTCTGAGAAGACCACATGCTGTCTGAGCTGAATTATATTATCACCAATCTTGTCCCCAGTTTTTATTTTATTATTACTATTTATTTTGTTAGGACAGTCTTGTATAGCCCACATTGGCCTCCAAGATGAGACTGGCCTTTAAATTGTCATCCTCCTGCCTCCACTCCTGTGTGGTGGAATTCCAGGCATGTGTAGCCTCATTTGATTTGTGTAGTGCCGGGGATCAAACCCACGGCTCTGTGCATGCTAGACCAGCGCCTGGCCCTGAGCTTCATCCCCTCCTCTGCAAGCTTTCAGTTCTTAGATTGCCTGCTCTCAGTGCTACTACCTCAGCCTTGGGTTCTTTTGCTCAACCTGGGAAGAGAGAGAAGAGGCAAGGATACTATGCAAATAAGTCTTTATTGGAGCCTGTGCTCACGCGTGAGTGATGTGTGCACAGGGCTCTCCAACTGCTTCTTGAGGACAAACTAGCAAAGCCTTATAGCCGGGAAGGCAAGCTGGCACAGTCTGCAGCTGCTGTACAGGACCCCAGGGACTCCCACCCAGCTTGTCCGTTCCTCACGCCAGGCCACTGACAGTCCTGGTGATCTGGGTGTGTGCATTGTTCTGAGTCTGCCTGTGCCTGGCTCACAGTGGGTAATGGAGGTGCTCACACCTGTCACCTCAGGAAGGTCATATGCTGGTCAAGTTCAGAAGGACTGCCAAGTATCGTAAGGGAGTGTGGAGGAGGGGGCAGCAGCTCCTGTATGTGGTCCCTACATCTCTGAAGATAGCTCGCATCTCAGAGACAAATCTTGACAAGAGTGTTCGTGCCATCCTACGCTGGCTCTCTGTGTCATGGGGGCAGGGGCAGGTAGACAACACCGAGGAGGCGGCAAGATCGGTGGCTACCAGGAACTAGGAGAAAAGGAGTGGTGAACAGGCAGAGCACTGGGGACTTTAGGGCAGGGGAAATTCTCTGTATCATGTAGTGTGTGTGTGTGTGTGTGTGTGTGTGTGTGTGTGTGTGCGCGCGCGCGCAACATTGTACATTTGTCCAAATCCACTGAATGAACACTGACAGTGCGAACAATGTTGATAAGAGTTCAGCAGCCTATTGGAGTATGCTGCTCTGCTGGGGAATGTTGCAAACGGGGATTCCTGCACATATGCAAGGGCAGGGCGGTTGCGGGAAACCATTGGGCCTGCCTCAAATCTATTGTGAACAAAAAAACTTCCATAAATGAGGTTTAAAACCTATATAAGTAGGGCCAGGCATAGAGGTGCACACTTTTAATCCCAGCACTGGCGAGGTTGGGGAACAGAGGCAAATGCATTGCTGTGAGTTTGAGGCCAGCCAGGTCTATGTACCAAGTCCCAGGACAGCTAGAGCTGCACAATGAGACTCTGTCTCAAACAAACACACAAACACCATACAGATACATGAAAAGCAATACATGTTGACTGTCTCGAAGCTCAGCATTTGAAAGTGTACCTTTCCGGTAGTAGGGGCTTCATGGAAGAACTGTTGTGTGCCTATAAGATCCAAGGTTCTGAATGAAGATAATATGGTGAGCTAATGAACTGTAGCAATCTATTTTTTTTTGTCTGTCTGTTAATTTATTATTGTCTGTCCCTGCTGTGCAGTCACTCCAGCTTTGCCCGGGACAGTACGAGATACTTCCTGCACCAGTCCCCAAGAATACTTCCAGGTAAGTATAAGCCTGTTGGCTTCCATGTTGTTGTAAATAAAAATGAGTGTTGGGCTAAATAATGTTATTTATTATTTGCCCTATAATTATTGGTGTAGTATTTTTGACTATCACAAATAATAAAACATAGACACCTGTTAGGTTTTATAATTGCCTATTATCTTGGGCCAGGCAGATATTTTTACCTAAGCTATCTCAATAACTGCACCATCCATCTCCCAGCCTCCATCTAATACTGTCCGCCTTGACCATCTTTATCTTGGACTACCTTTCATCCACAATCTTATGAATTCTTGTATTCTTCATCTTTGCCTTTCCATGACATTATTGAAGTCTTTCCTCCCAGCCCACATGGTTCCTTCTCCATGCTAACTCATCACGGTGTCCTCCTTCCTCCTCTCTTCCCATCTGTCTGTCTCCCATGATTCTCCTGTCCTCCAAAGCCCAGGAAACTTAGCCATGTCTACCCACTCTGCCCTGCCCAAGTACAGGCCATTTAATCAACCAATTAGGTATGTCTTAGGCAGGTTTACACAACAAGCACAGGAGTAACCAGATCTTGAGGGCCAGCATCAGAACAACCCCCAACAATTCCCCTTTTCTGTCTAAATAAAAAGGCCATTTTTTATACAGTAAGAATAATTATGAAACAATTACAAAAACAAATAGGTAAGACTTTTATATATAATGTCTAATTTAAATGTATTTGGAAACTTTGAAGAAAATACCTTATCTAAAGTTTTGTACCTTATTTTTATAGTTGTATCTATCAACCTAAAAACATCTATATAGACCTAAAACATCTTTTTAATTCCTAAGCAACTAAGCTAACTCTAATACTATGACTATCTGGTCTTCAACCCCATCAGAGACTTGAGAAGGAATAAAATTAATCACTTGAGTAAACAGGAAGTGCATGCTAGCCGCTTCCAAAAAATAGAAAATTGACAGAGGCAGTTTGCTGCCTGAACAGCCACCCAAAACTCTCTATAACGTTGAACAATCATCTTCAGCCTTCTGGCCCAGTACCTTTGACAGACATATATGTGAAGCAGGAACTATTTAGGACTAGCTTACCCTGTCTTGGCAGAGCTCAGCAGTCGACTTGCCCTGCTGAGCAAGGGCAAGCATTTTAGGCAGAATTCTGTCTGTTGTAAAGCGAGGGCATTTTTTTTTTCTCCCGCAGATAGCTGGTTTGCCACATTTTAAGCCATCTCCAGATGGAGGTTCTTTGATGCTCACTTCTTCTTTGAGTTAGGCTGAGTCCGGCCAGGAGGTGACATGTCTCATTACCAAAGACTCTTTAAGATAATAGAAACATTTTAAATGCCATATTTTGGATGTCTCTGAGGTCTTGCAGACTTATCTACCTTTATGTATAATCTACCTATAGAATCATATCTATTTGCTAAACCTAGGATGTGTATTTCTGTGATAAATTAAGACTAGTGTCTGACATGACCATGAGTTGATTAGTTGATTAGTTAGCAATTAATTTGCATTACCTAATATCATGAACAATTTGTAATAGCAATTTTAAAAGTATTGGAAGTAAACCTTAAATTTGTATCAATATACCAAAGTCTATACCAATGTATCAAAATACTTATTTTTGCATCAATATACAAAATTTTATACCAATTAGTTAAAAATAAGCTTTTTTGAGACTAACAAATAAAGCCTTAAGTTGAGGAGTAGATTCAATAATCTACCTTTTGTCTTATTCCTACAAGATATCCCTATATTCCCCTTTCTTTTCAACCCTATTCTCCTTATCTAATAAAGATAGAAGAAAAAAAGGAAAAGAGAGAAATCCCTGAATCTAACTTTGTTTTCTCTCTGATTAAGACCATTAATAACTTATAATCATCTCCCAATGACAATAAACATTCATAACCCCAGAAAACAACCAAAAACCTACCCAACCCCCTCAAGGGAAATGGGGCTTTGCTCTCATGGGTTCCTTCTAGCTGATTTAAGGGCCTGAAGAAATTCTGTTTGGGGGCTCAAAAGAAATTGGGGAAAATGGTTAATTAAGCTAGCATTAATATTTGTGGTCTAGTTTTTGATAGCTGAGAAATTTCAGGCTTAAAAGAAGTCTTGTTTGGAAAAGGCTGAAATGCTGGACCAACTGAGATTAGTAGCTTTCTTCAAAGCTCTCTTGGGAGTAGGCACTGATGAGGAATGGCAACTGAAGTATTTGAGGCTGGACCAAGCAGAATGCTAGAACATGCAGGATGCTGGAACAGATGTGTCAGCATCTCAGCATGTCCTGTCGGGTTTGATTCTGCATCTAGTCCTTTTGTTCTGAAAACATATAATTTCTCATAAGCATTAGACAGTCCTAAAATTATAAATGTATGAGATGTGCAGGATGTACAGATCAATTAAGGCTAGCTGTCTGCTCTTTGTATGAGCATAAGAAAGACATCTGTAAATCTTATTCATTCATGCCATCCATATGAAAAGATGGCATGTACATGTCATGGGGTTTCTGTAGTCAACAAGAATTATTGGCTATGCATAGACATCCATGTCTCAGTCAGTTTCAGAGCTGTTCCCATGTAGTGGGATCAGCAATATGTTACCATTATTATTGAACATACAATCATCATCATGTTGAAATCAAAACAAGGTTGTATAGATCTAAATATTCTCTCTGGGCTCTTGGGTGCCTGTTGTATTTGGCCAAGCCATTCTGTCTCCCGAGAGAAGGCCTCCCATTTAAAAGGACAACGTGGTTGCCCTGAGCAATAGAAAAAAACATATGTTTTAATTAAACTTTATATAAACTCCTTTTTACCTTTAGAGCCTAAGCATACCCTAGGCATCTATCTTGTGCCTGGGTTTTTACATTTGTTGTGGCCACTCATTGGCTTGTCCCTTTTTTTAAATATGGGATAGATGGTTTTGCCTTTGAAACATATGAACTGTAATTTTTTAGTATTTAGGACTTAACTAGGCTGGCATGTACTTTGCCATCTGTAAGACTCCTGTGTCTTTTCTGCATCAGGCATGACCAACATTTGTCCCCTGTGAAAATGTCTCACATTCAATAGGACAAGCTGACTGCCAAAGCAGTGTGACACCTTAATTTAGTCAGCATTTAAAAGCTTTTTGACATGGAAGACATGCAGTTTGCATGTTTTTCTCCCAGCCTAATTTCAAGTCCTTACATTGACCAAAAGAACACATCTCTTAAGCCAAAATGCCATTTGGCACCAGTTCTCCAGTGTAAGTTCCACTTTCTGAGGAGACTGGCTGGACCTTTGAGAGCAGTGTGACATCATCCCTCCCTACATAAACCTAGAATAGAGTGAATCCAACCTCTAGGAAGGACATATTATTTATTATCAAGAAAAAAAGAACTTATGTAGTAATTAACCTTAATAAAAGTTTGTTATTTTGAATCCTAGACTGTCTTTGCAGGCGGCTTAATAGCAGTTGTGCCAATTCAGGCCATAACAAACAAAGCCAGTTTATCATTTTTTGGAATTTATTTGTTGCTACAGTATACAGGTGGACCATTCCCAGAAAGAGCTGACAAGTATCTTGCAGTCAGAGAGCTTTGAACTGTAGATGCTATTAATCCACTTTCTATCAGTAACAGTGTCCTTCCTATTGTTTGTAACTTATTTTATACCTTGGCTTTCTCCCCGTTTTTTCCTTGAACTTTTTAAGAGAAGGTGTGAAGAGCCACCACCATTAAACACATTGTAGCCAGATCCATGACTATGACAACCAAAACAAAGCCAAAGGGATCCAAACACCCTCTGCCATGACATTTTTTTTATTTTAGATGCCTAGCTCCATCTAGAGATCTGTCTGCCTCCTAGTTTTGCCTCTCCAACTTGCCATGTCTCCACAGCCACCGCCTCTGTTGCTGCTCTGTGACAGCGGAGCTGGCCAGCAGCGGCAGGGAGCAAAACTTGGGTACTTTGGAGGTAGACAGTAGCTGCAGCCAGTTTTGTTTGATTAAGTCTGCTCCCTTTGTCTCCCAGTCTGCCTGAGGTAGGCTGTCAGGCTGTCTTTTGCTTGTGAGTGAATATAAGAGCCTTTCTTAAAGAGACAGTATTTGACCGGGAAGTTTTAGGTTTTAAATTTGGGTTAAACTATAATAAAGTATGATTTAAAAGGTGTGGATACATAAAATTAGTTGGCTGCTATTTGTCATCCCACATAAGCAATAATATTTACATTTGTGGTTATGTACTAACACTTGTGGTTTTTAAACCTTGTCATGCACCTCATGTCCAGATTAGTGTTTAAAATATTTAATGAGAGATGAATAATAAATTAACAAAGATCTTCATTTAAAAAAAAAAACAGATTTAGAAAAACCACTTTTTATTTTTCTTTCTTTCTTTTTTTTACATATAGGAGTTTCGTATTTCGTTCTGTGGTGCAAAGATTCCCACCAAACTATTTCACACCTGTAAGTAAAATGTAGAGAGTTAATGCAAAATGGGCTTGATGCTTCCTCCTCATGTGTTATCATTTTGCTCACATGATATAAGCTATGAATGAATGGTTGAGGCAGTTGATACAGGTTATGCGTGCTGGCTGCATTCTGTGTATCTGTGACAAAGTACCTGCCAAGAACAGCTCAGGTGAGGAGACAGTTGCTTTTGGGCCATAGTTTCAGAAGCTTTAGTGCACCTAAACTGGGGAAGAAGGCATAGCAGTGTTTTATGGTGGGGAAGGCCTGGTGGAGTCTGCATTGGCAAAAGCATGCACGGTCTGTTCCCATGACGGTGACTTTTCACAGAATGTACAATGCCAGGGGTGAACCCTAATGTCATTATGGATCTTGGGTGCAGAAAAAGCAGGTCAGAACCAGAAGTGGGTGACAAACTTCAAATGTCTGCCCCCAGTGACCTGCTCTGGCCATCCAGGCCTTACCTCCTAAAGCCTTCAAACCGACGGCATGAGCTGGGGCCTGGGTATCTAATGCATGAGTCTGGGAGGTCAGTCCACTTCCAAGCAATCATATTCTGGTTCTAGGCCCTCAAGACTTGCAGCTGTCTCAGAACAAAATATATTTATCCAATCTTAACCTGTCTTGACCCTGTTGATAAACTCAGCAGTCCTGACACTGTTAAAAGATTCGAAGTCTTTTGGGAAACTTTAGGCAAACTCTTAGCTCTAAGCCCCAATGGAAAAAAATACAAGTTAAGCATGTTCCACATTTAATGAAGCAGAGCAGAGTCCCATCCCAAGGGGGTGAGTGGGGACACAAAATGGAAAAATTGGACCGAAGTAAAACCCACGCCCAGCAGAACAAACGTACTGGGCCTGTAGTGGAATCAGCTGGGCTCTGATAAGCTTCGAGTCCCCATCCAAATAACGTTGACATTCGCAGCCTCTGTGGCCTTGGGCCAGCTCTTTTGGGTGCTGGCAATTATCGTTGGCAGGCATTTCATATTCTCGGCACTTCCAGCATCTTGGATCTTCACTTCCACGTATTTTGCACAGCTCTGTCAGGGCTACCTGCAGGGAGTGCAACCTTGCCACACTTCGCTCGGCCTCCCGGGCCTTCCTGTGAAACTGTGTGGTGCAAGCCTCACCAATCCCACCACTTTTGCATTCTGCACGCCCACAAAACTAGAGCCATGCGGATAACGCCGAGCTTTCTGCGAGCTCTAGATACAGTCTTGGACTGCGGCTGCCTCTGAGAGCCTGTGCGGCTGAACTGGTAGAACATTTCCCTCGCTCACCCACTTCCAGCAAGGCACTCTGGCCTTCCTTTCAAGGGGTTTCAGCTTTGCTCCTTCTGTAGCTGGGGTCTTGTCCTCAAGGCTTCTTTCCCAGTGTCCCCAGGCTCTCCGACTGCCGCTGCAGTGTCCCCAGTACTCGCTTTGCCCACAGCTTTGTGTTCACACTTCTTTTTTCACCAAACTGCACACTTTCCCAATCCTTCTGTTGAGCTCTTTTCTTTGCACTCTCTCTGTAAACCTAGCTAAAAGCAGGTAGCAGCTTCTGCTAGAGCCTGGATGTCGTTTGTGAATTTCCTCTTTTAGTACATTTCTTTTAATCTGGTCTTACTTCAGTTCTCAGGACATGGAAAGGACACAACCAATTTTTAAAAAATTAATTAATTTTTGTTTTGCTAAAACGTAACACAAAGGACCACCAAGGTGGAATTCCTGACAGACTCTTTCTTCCCTCTGAAGTCTGTCTAGTGTCTGCGAGTCTGACATGTTCTAGTCTCTCCAGCTCTCACCAGAATGGTCCACCATGCTTTGCACACAGATGGGCTTCTGTGACCTGCAGCTCCAGGTTCCCAGATACTGTTCTTTACAAACCAAGCCCCAAAATTCCAAAACGATAGGGCTCGGTATATCTCAGCAATGAGTGAAATCAGACTTTCAGTGCTGATTTCCTGGGGGGGGAGGGGTTGTTGTTGTTTTCTTTTTTTCTATGTTTTATTCAAGACAGGGTTTCTCTGTGTAGCCCTGGCTGTCCTGAACTTGCTTTGTAGACCAGACTGGTCTCGAATTCACATAGATCCACTTGCCTCTGCCTCCCTGAGTGCCGGGATTGCAAGTGTGTGCCACCATGCTCAACTTCCTTTACATTTCATAACATTTTTTATTTTATGTGTCTGAGTGTTTTGCCTCTGTGTGCACATGCACCATGTGCATGCCCGTTGCCCACAGAGGTCGGCAGAGGGCACTGGATCCTCTGGGGCTGGCGTTACATACAGCTGGTGTGGGCTACCATGTGGGTGCCAGGAACCAAATCCAGGCCCTCTGGAAGAGTAGAGGACCTGTACCAGATCTCCAGTCCACGTCTCTTTTCCTTGCGACAGGATCTTGTTATGTAACTGGCTAACCTGGAACTCACTGTGTAGACCAGGGTTGCGCCGAGCTCACAGGGATCCACTTGCCTCTGCCTCCTGAATGAAAAAAATGAAATAAAAAGTAAAGGACGTGACTGCTCCTAGGTATGGTGGAGGAGAAAGCTTCTTACAGATATGTGGGAGAGCAAAGCCAGAGGTAGCACATCTGGGAGAGTCCAGAGTGGACACCACACTGAGCCATGTGAGGAGAGCAGAGGGAAAGGGGGAGGGGAGAGGGAAACCAGGTGCAGGAGGCCCAACAGAGTATCGGAAAGAGCCAGGTAAGAAGATGACTGGACTATGGAGGGAAGGGCAGCTGGGGAAAGGGCAGCCCAGCCCCGGGGGGCACAGAAGTTTAGGGCAGAGGGCAGGGTGTGCCAGCCAGGACCCCCCTCCCACAGGTTCCACATCCTTCCAAACAGTGCCACAATCTGGGGACTGAGCGTTCAAAGCGCGAGGCTACAAGGATGTTTCCAGTTCAAACTAACGACGTATGTAAAGTAGACACACTGGGGATTTCAGCTAAAAAGCTTATTTGTGGAAAGTAATAGAAGAAAATGTCCATCTGTGTGTGTGTGTGTTTCGAGACAGGGTTTCTTCTCTGTGTAATGTAACCCTGGCTGTCCTGGAACTGTGTAGACCCGGCCTATCCTCGAACTCACAGAGACCCGACTGTGTCTGCCTCCTGAGTTCTGGGATTAAAAGCATGCAACACCACTGGAACCTTTTATGTTCTTAGTTTTGTTTAGTTTCTAAAGGACCCCAGCTTCTCACAAAAACAAACCCAAGAAATTCTTCCAAGTAACGCTCAAAGGCATAGATAATTCACTAGTTGCTTTTATGTGTTTCTCCTCTGTGGAGACATCCCCACCCCACCTAGAACATTCTGTTGTCCTCCTGTAGTCGGAACTAATACTTTCTAGCTGTGCACATGGTCTTTGTGAAACATTCCTTCACCACCACATTGGCTGTGTCTTGCTGACTGCCACCATCTTGGTAGAACACCCCAGTTTCTCTCTCTCTAAATTTAAAGGTGGCTTCCTTTTGGAGGCCTGACATCTAAAATGAGGCATGGAGACACAACGTCCCCAAGTTCTACAAATGTGTGAAACAGCACAAAATACTACACTAACATTTCTTGCCAGTATTCTGAAATGTTTGTTTTGCAGAGGTCCTTGCTGCTAGTCTTTCTGCCCGATGTGTGTGTGTGTGTGTTAGATACAGGGTTAGATACATACACAAAATAAAAAATAAGACAGCACCTTATCCATTCCTTTCTGAATGAGATCATTTCGCTGACTTGGAACATCCTGCCCTTCAGAAAATGGAAAAGAATACTTTCAGGGAAAATGTTCACAGGCAGAGAACTAGCCTGGGGCTGTGATTCATGTCTGTCCTGAACACACATTCCTGGAGCAGCTGTGGGTTTGGTTTACACCCATAAACTTGTAAGATGCCTAGAGCAAAGTCCTTTGATCCGGCAGCGGTAGATGGTGGCCTGCCGCGAGTGTGCTAGCCCAGAACTCGTGTAAGGAAACTTAATGGGAACCTTCTGGTGGTAAAGGTGTGAACCACACGCTTAGCCAGAGAATGCTCCAGCGTTTATTCTTAGGCCATTATATTCCAGCTTCTTACGTGAGAAAATCCATATGGCCGACTTTATCCTTGAGTTTAATTTTCCTAGAAGTGATATAGTTATAGTTATCGTAACAGTTATATGACAGTTATAGAACTGTTAGGGACTCAGGCCTCTCTCTGTAAATTAGCTGTGGAGTAGCTTCTGGCTCTGGGCACAGTGTCCTGTATTGAGTATAGACTGTGCCATTTACTCCTCACCACTTGAGGAGATCATAGTTGCTTATCTTTATTTGGTAAGCCAGTGAGTAGAAATTAATTGCTCAGGGTCACATGGTTATCAAAGGCAGAATTAAGACATAAACCCAGCCCATAATGATTCCAAAAAACATGAGCTGTAGGCTGTCCTGCCTAAGGAATGGGCATGTCTTCAGGCAGTAAAAGCTGATCTGGGGCCATTGTGTCCATCTGTCCCTCAACTATAAGGGAAGCTACTTTTGGAGGAATGGTAACGGTCCATCAGGGAATCAATTAAAACTGTACAGAGGGATTTGGCCTGGAACCTACCCCCTCTTCATATGGAATGTTGCCCCTTGGGCAAAATACTGGTGGGGTTGGTGCAATGGCATATGCCTATAGTCCCAGCCACTTGGGAGGTAGAGGCAAGAGAATTGCTTGAATCTGGGAGTTTGAGTCACCTCGATTATACAGAAAGGAGATGGGAGGCCATATGTGTATATATAGGTGAATAGTAGAGTACTTGCCCAGCTACCAAAGGACACGGGTTCAATACTCAGCACCCTTCTACCCCACCAACCACAAAAAAAAAGAAGAAAGAAAGAAAAAATTGATGGAGGAAGAATCTCAGTAAACCCAGAGGGAAGAGAACCCCACACTGACCCCAGTGGTATACGGCACTGCTGTTGGCTGATTTCAGTTTATCCCAGCCGTATGCCAGTGTTCTATCAGGTCCGTGAGATAAACCTCCAGAGGTGATGGAGATAAGCAGCCTGGACACT